GAATTGCAAGCAAAACAAACAATGCGAGTAGCGGTAGACGCTGATAAATTTTGCGCAAAGATTTGCGAAAAAAAAGAAAACATGGGCACTGACTAAGTAAAAGTACTGTTGCATATAATTTGTCTACCACACATTCATATATACAAACGTGTACACATGTATGTACATACTTATTGACTAATTCTGGCGCTTTCTCATGAATGGGCGAAATTAAGGCAGCTTATATGAGGAAAAGGTTAAATGCAACTCGGCGCGGAGTATCTAACTGGCAATGGTATGACAGCTGATGGCACACTCAAACAAACTGAAAAACGAATAATACGCTAAATGGTTACGCGACACTTAACCGGAATGGATGTTGATCTTTTTCTGGCCAAGGATTTGGCAGCATACTTCCAAATTATTTCCGGAATGTTTTCTACTGCAAAAACAGCGTTAATATTTTAGGCCACTACAATAAGTATATAAAATAACTGTTTATGCCCCTTATTAATACCCTGAACTGGGTATATTACACTTAGAAGGAAATGTCGGGGACCTTATAAAATATATACGAGTATATAAATGATCAGTGTGACGATCTGAGTCGATGTTGTTGTTGTTGTAGCGACAGAAAGTATTTTTTAACAAATTTCTAGGCATGGTGCGGAGTTGACAATCCTTGGGCCGGATAGAAAATCGGCGACCATTCTTTAAAATTATATTAAAGATCCCTTTTTACACTTTTATGCATTCAAAAATGCACCTGTGAAGGGTATTAGAGCTACGGTGTAGTCGTTTGCAACGTTTTTTCTTCTTTCTATGCTTTCCAAGTTCATTTTAACATTTAATTCAAGTTAATAAAAAATATTGCTTATACGACGTGGTGTACATTTGTTTGTCATTTATGATTATTATATTTTTATGAGTATTCATTTACTATATAAAAAAATCTTTGGTAAATCATCTATACCACAATTTCTTTGAGTTAGGCTTCAGCCAACATAAATATAATGAAAAAAGAACGAAATTATTTTGGAATAAATACTTTTCTTAAAATAACCAAAAATGTGTTAAATATAAAATTTGTGCTCACCTGCATTTTATTAATGGCTTTCCAACCATCCTCGACACCTTTCACGGCTACGTACTTCGACTGTACTGGCAGCAACAGCTGATCCAAAATATCCAATTTTCCCGGAGCATATTTAATAGATTGCAAACTCATTTTGTTTGTTTGTTTTTGATTTCTTTTTAAGTTTTCTGACGCAACTCAACTGTAAATGAAGGAAAGCACGGAAAACTAAAAAACCTTTATTTTTGCAGATGATTCTACAGTTGAACGACACAAAAAAGCAAACACACGTAAATAACACAAGAAATCTAATGGAAATCAGCATAACAACATGCATACATACATATGTATGTATGTATCTGCATGTATGTATGTAGATATGTATACATATGTATATATTCTCGGTATGAACGCGTAACCGATTGTCGATTCACAAAATTTGTTGCTTTAATAAGTGAAATTTATTTGTGCTACCATCAATGCCGAAATAGAACTAAGTACTTTCATTAACAGCGAAAAGAAAGAAAAATAAATAATAGCAAAAAAAAAACTTTCTTTGACGTTCACTGAAAAACGATTGCCGGGTATTGATCGCGACGGATCGCGGCTCATCGCAGGCTAAAATCTAATGCACGGTACAGCGTCGACATCGACGTCTGGCGAAAGCACGCAAGTCACCAGCAATAAATTTGGAAAACCATCGCATTAGGAATGGAGGTGCTGACTAGTTGGTCAGCAACAGCATCATTGCTACTTAGAAATTTGTTGTATGTGTTATACTGCAATGCGTTTTGGTTTGGCTGCCCACTCAACACCCGTGAAATACGCGAAATAACATAAAAAAGAAAATTGCATTTTAATTTTAAATTCGATTAGCGATAAATCATTGGATGTTGCCCGAAAAAAAGTGAAAATGCACACACACATACATGTGAACTAATTGCACGATTTGACACACTGATGCGCCGGCAGACGAACCGTCACAAAGGTAAGCGACTGCGAATTGCTGATCTCCGACCGAACTGGCGCACTGAAAGTAATTACCTATCACTTGGCAACGAACGTTTCCCCTCTGACTTGCTGGGCTCGAACTAATAACAACAAAAATTTTTTAAACTAGAAAAAATAAAACGAAAATCAAAATTGCCGAAAGCAATAATCACTAGCGCGAAATGTTTCGAACACGCAACTAGCAGCCAGACAAGAAATAAGTAGAAACCGTGAGCAGATAACAACACGGCTGGCAGTTGCAAATGTGACTGAGATGGCAAGCGCTAACGGAACTGCGAGTGCCCGAGAGCTGCTACGATTCCAAGCATTATAGTTTTCAACAGAGAATCTTTCACGTTTGCATGTTATCTGTGGTTTGTTAGAAGCCAAGTTACCCTGTAGGATTATAAACAAAAATGTTCTTGTAATATACAATATATACTAGAGGATCCGGCCACGCCTTGCTTGCTGGTGACTATTATTTATATAATAAACTATTCAATACAGTGAACATTTTATTTACGAATTAAGCCAAAAAGGTTTTTGTCGGTATAAGAATCCAAGAGATTGGAAAAAATTAAGAATTTAAGACTGCTTTCTCAATGTCTGTTTACCTGCTTTTGTGCATGGTTAATGGAGATGTCCGCTTAATAGGTCGTTCATTTAGAAGAGATTTCTCTGTATTCATTATTTATAAATTGTTTTAACTATCCTATCTTCTAAGTTGGTTCGAACTGAACACAGTGTGCTCAATTTTGCTAAAATCGCTTCGGTAGTTTACGAGTCCATCGCGGACAAACAGCGTGACACGTGCTTTTTATATAAAAACATATAGTACATATAATACTTATATGTTAGATAAGCGGCAAGATTAAGATTTAAAACTCTTTGCGCTTTCAGCTATACTTTGGGAATGTGGTAAAATCGCATTTGTCTATCTTATCACTTAAGCGGTTTGCGGTTAAGTGGAAATTTTAAAGCTTTTTTTTCTATTTAGTTATTTTTGTGAAATATATTTATATATGTACATACATACATATTCTTGTAGATGATAATCTAAAATTACAGGAGATCCAATAAAAATATATGTATATAAATGATCAGCGTGAGCAGTTGAGGCGCGATAGAATTTGAGATATCGATATAAAATTTTGCACACGCCCAAGAAGCTGCTCATATGCCAGAACCACTAGAGCATATAGCAATCATACACCGAACAATCAAAATCATCTCCTTATATGGAAAACCTTTTTATTTGACGACATATATTTACGATTTGTTTGCATGAATTACACTCAAAGCAACGGTACAGATAGGTCGGCCCAGATAACTTATTGCTGTCATACAAACTGACCGTTCAAAATCAAGCTGTTGTATGAATCTTAGCATCTCCCCTAAATTTAAAATGTATGATTTTGCAAATCCGAAGAAGTTGTTCAGATCGTACCACTATAACATGCAACATGCAAGCAGATGATGATTAACACGTCATTCTATGGAAATTTTTTATTTGACCACATCTCTTTACGAAATTTAACTCGTATTATTTGTGAAGCGTGTTAAAGATATATATAGATATGATTTAATCGAAGTTCCAAATGCCATGAGAGAATTTTTTCAGAGGAGACAGCTTCTCCTAAAATAGTTGATTACCTTTTTATCGAGGGAATTACATTATCAAAAATTGATCTTATAAAATCAATCAATATCAGCATTCACCTCCGAATATAGTGTGTTAGGCCGTAAAAGCATATCGTATCGTGAGGTATTTTCATCAAAGGTAAAATATATGATAAAGGGGCCTCACCTGTTACTGGTTATAAGCAATTGGAATCACATTCACTAGCAAACTTTATGATGTTTTCTTCCAAATTAAATTTTTTCTTTGTTTTATCACTCACTTAAAAGAAAGAATTTACAAGAAGGATTGGAAGGGGTTCGCATCCGCGATTATTTGTAAATATTTTTTATCGCAACTGTTCCGTGACACTCTTTTCTTAAGCAGCTACGTCGAAAATGGCAGTAGCAATCAATGAATGAAGAATGCAATAAAACCACAACAAAACTACAATGACAAGCAAATTGTCCACAGCCATATGGAGGGATCATAATTTAGGAAACTGTTCCGTGACGAAAGCACTTTCGGTGTGACTTTTGCTACTAATCTTTATAATCACCCTTAAAATGTACTGAAAGCCCAGATGAATTACTGCTTTTCCGTAACTCACTTATCCTCTCTTTGTTTCAAATTAATGAAGGTGCATTGAATATGATGACACCAATCAACTAGTGGTTATTTTTCACTAACAAAGTCTGACCCAGCAAGCCGGCAAACAAAGAAACGTCTATTTGCCTATGTACATACATACACATATGGGTGCAGATGTAACACGCATTTCAATATTTCTTACCTATGTAATTTATATGTCACTTTTATTTTAGTCTAATAACAAAACTGTTTTAAATAACAATTATTCAAACTGGGCACAAGGCTACATCAGCAAAATAGCTTCAAATTCAATAAATTCGCTAATCTTATGTCCGGCTTTAACAAAAATTCTCACACTCTTTCTTATCAGTGTTTTACATGTTCGTTATCGGAAATGAAGCGCTGCCACCTTGTTATATTTTGGCACTACATTACATTTTTCATGCGCATGAACTTAATATGCATTAATTTTCTTGCATTTAAAACGGCAGACATTTGTCGAAATTATATTTAAATAATGCCCACAATTAAATTTAGATATTCTTACTTCAATATATCGATGATTGTAATTACACACAATAATGAATAGAACGATTTGAAGTGATGGTTGGTTTTCTGAGTAGGTTTAGCTTGGCAGTACTGTTTATCAGAAAAACTACCATTCACAATCATAAGCGTCATTTACTTAATTTACATATCCAAAATATAAAATATCGATAAAATAACGTTAACAACAACGTTGTGATGCCGTTTTTATTAAAAATATTATACTTTTAATTTCAACAAAGTTGGAACTCATTCAAGGGAATGGTATAAATATTTATCAGTATAAATAATTTAATTTATAGCAATTTTCAGTTAATTATTGATATCGAATTCGAAATATCGAGCATTTTATAAACCACATCTCTAATACGTTTTGTTTATGCAGTGTAATTTAGTTTGTGCTTGCCTTTTAATCCTTACAAAATATATAAAAGACGCGAAATGGGGGAAGCCACTTATCCAGATCTGGAGAAAATGTGTAGACTATGTTTACGTATTTTGGATCAATCAGAACTCGTAGAAATTTTTCCACAAAGTGGAGCAGCCACAGACGGCACTTCGGTGCAGCTGTCAATACCAATGCGTATTATGGCGTGCGCCGCTTTGGAAGTGCAAACAGGCGATGGATTGCCGAAATCAATATGCACAGAATGCCGTTACCAATTGGAAAAATCATACTATTTTCGCAAACGTAATCAACAATCCGATAGCAAATTGCGCAAGCATATACGTCTTCTAAATTTGGGCAAAAAAAGTCGTGTCTTCGAGAAAACGGAAGATGATGATTTTGAAGATGAACTGGAGTTCGAGGATTCTATTAAATTTATACAGAAAATCGAGGACGAAAAGAAAGCGTCAGAAACGGCTGTATGGGAACAAAAATCACAGAAAGAGCTTAATGAAAAGATTGCTCAAGCCAAATCGGAATGTATTGAAAAATATAGAATAGATATACGGGGTGAAGTAGCAATTGAGTTACGTAGTGCCGTCATAGCTGAAGTGAAGGAAGAATTAAGATGTGAAATGGAACAGGAATTACGGACGGCTCTACGCGAAGAATGTTTGGAGCAGGCAAAAGAAGAATTGCGCATGGATGTAATGGCAGAATGTCGTGAACAAGAACGAATTGCATTATTAGATGATTTGCAGTCTTTTTTAAATACCAAAAGAGGAACAAACTTGGCGACTAAAACTGACACAATAATAGTTTCAACAGTAATTGAGCAGCCTGAAGAAACAAAAATACAACAACAAAAGGAAACAAGTGAAATTGTAAGAATTGTGGAAAAAGGAAGAGCATCAGCATCGCCAGTTAAAGGCGAAATCGTAAATAATGATGATATATGTGCAGAAACAGAAGCCGATGCTGATGCTGAAGGGGAAACGGAAGAAGAGCCAGAATTCTATTTAATAGAGTCAATTAATAGCCAAGAAGGCGAAGGTTCCATGGTGTCCGAAAAGTCATCCAGGAAACGTCAAAAGATAGATAAGAGTCAACGGTTTGAGTATTTCGAGGATAGATTAGGAAGTGGAAATTTTCGTTTAACAGCCTCGGAAAGTAGTAGTCATGAGCCCGGCACGGAATCATATCACAGTAATTTTGGTCAAATTTTACTTTTTCAAAGTATGCTAATATAATTTATTATAGTTGCAGACACTGGCGATGTTCAATATTACAAAAAAAGTTCAAAAAACGTTGACGAAGATGGTGAATGTGAGGAGTTGGAGGGGGAAGAAGACGGTGACAATGAGGAAGGTGTTATAGTTTTTAATTTCTCTGATGACATTGAGGGCGAACAAGTCGAGTCCATGGACTTTGCAGATCTTAAGAAACTATACGTAATGGTTGGTTGTAATGTAATAATGAAATATACAATTTATTATAATATAATTTACTTGTATAGAAGTCGTCAAAGCCAGAGCAAAGTGTCGACGATGAGAATGAAGTGCCCAAATCAGACGCCAAACCGACGTTTACAAAACAAATAGGGGTAGACGGCACAAATACCGTCGAGTTGGGCAATACCGTTGAATTTCCCGTGCATCTGCGAAAAACGGATACACCGAAGACGTTCAAATGCGATTCATGTCCCATGGTTTTTTCCACCAGCAATGCGATGAATCGTCACCTGCGCACACATCTCAAAGGCGAGCAGCGTGGCATAACCTACCAGTGTTCCGTGTGTCTTGTATATTTATCCTGCAAAAGCGCGCTCAATCGTCATATGATCATACATACGGGCGAAAAGCCACATGTGTGTGACGAATGTGGCAAATCATTTGTGCAACGTGAAGTGCTAAAGCGACATATGTTAACGCATACGGGCGCGCGGCCGCACAAGTGCACACATTGCCGACGTACGTTTACGCAAAAGAACAATTTGATCAATCATATAAACCGAGCGCACTCAGAAGTGCCAATGGGACAACAATACTCTTGTCATCTCTGCCCGAAACGTTTCAGCCACACATCGGGTCTTAGTCGACATCTGGTAACGCATACCGGCTTGACATTTCAATGTACCGAATGTAAGCGAAAATTCGCCGATCGCTCATCGGTCAAAAGGCATATCGTAAATGTGCATGGCGTACGGAAGAATGCAGCAATAGAAAGTGTGAAAAAAACGGATGGTCAGACATCGGATTTAGAATTTTACTCCGTTGAATGTGTCGATAGCGTTGAAACAAGCGAAGAAAACGGTGCAGCATTTTTGGTATGATAGTATTAGTAATTATTTAAATTTCTTTACTATTATTGTATTATTTTGCCTAAAGCATCTTTGAACGTTCAACTTGATTAAGAGGCCATCAACTTGTTATGCGCAGTAACAAATTCTTTTATTTTTTACACATCAATTTGTTTATAACTAGTTGTAATTTATAGAATTTGAATTATTTCAAATATGTATTTCGTTTGTACAAAAATTAAAAGGATAAAAAAATTAAAACGATAAAAAAATTAAAATTTCGTCGACTTGATTCTTGCCTGCAGCGCAATTGTGCTATGATATGATATTGGTTTGGAGGTGAGCAGAAGAGCATATAAAAGAAAACATTCCTTTGAAAACATTGTTCTCCAAATAATCCTTAACTAAATTTATCTATTCGCGACGCTAATTTACTGCTTTTGAAGTAGTACGCAATCTTAGGATGACCAAGAAAACATTTTCATTCGCCTTACCAAAACGATGTTTGCTGACACACTTTTCGTATACAAATTTTAATGTCTGCTCTAGTGAATATAAATCTTGCACCTGTGACCAAACTTGGAATATTAATAAGTATTATGTAATACAAATAAATAATAATGCAAATTAAATATTTTAGTTGTAAGAACTTTTCAAAAACACATTTGTTTAAATTCATTTTTGACAACAAGTGTAAACAAATCCTTACGCTCCACTGACAATGTCAACATTGGAATGACACATTACTGATACCTTGCAGCTCAACACAAACAATTTTGACGTTAAATCGTGTGCATAAACAAACAGCGCTTAAATTTAATTTTAAAATAAGATAAGAAACACATTTTTAAGATTTTAATAAATATGCAATTTTTTCTATTTATGTAATCATATATGTAGAATTAAGATTTTGTATATGTTTTACAACATATACATACATACAAACACGCACATGTGTACAATTAACAATTGATATTCTTTTTCTCACAGAAGCTGTTAAAACGTTAAATTGTATTAAATTGTATATAAATAACTTAATATTATCAATACGCATATTACAATATATTTGAAACATTTACTTGTATGTATATGTATATAAATATGTAGCTTAGGCGAAATTCCTAACTAACTATTCGTACAACAATGCAAAAAATTGTAGATTTGAGAAAGTCATACAACTACAGGGCTTACGCAATACTTTTGCTAGAACAAATTTCCGATATTTTTGGAATTTTCTTATGTAAAAAAACAAGAAACAGTAATGGAAAACAAAACACAAAACAAATTTATAATAAATGACATGCATACAATATTTTAAATATTTAACTTAACTAGTGGAAGTCAGAAAAAGTGTGATTTCTTGAATGCTTTCGTAAATACTTCGGTTTCTCCTTATCAATTGGTTTTCTCTATTTTTTTTTTAAATAAGATTAGATTCTCTTACTTTCCTGCAACAAAATAAAAGTCTGCACAAGCGTTTCCTTTAACTAAATGCATGAGGCAATTGAAGTTATTGATTGTGAATGCAACAAATATTTTTCAGTGATTAACAACGAACAATAGAGATTTACAATTTGATATCCCTCTAAAACAATAGTATAAATAGCAACAATTTTTGACAAAAATCTTCTTAAACACACAAATATTTTGCTTGTATAATTTACATTTGAAACGAGTCAGGCGTTGACGAACTATTACACGAAATATAAAATTGTCTAAATTCATATTTTTTCACATTATTAATTTTTTTTGTTTTTGATAGCGCTACAGCACTATGTATGCTAGAGTATGTACTTTGATCATGCGAAATATGTGCATACATATATACGCTGATAAATATGTTTGTATATGTATATGTATACGTAATATAGTAGGTACAAATATTCAAAATACTTTAATATATGTATGTATATTGTGCTCAACGACGCACGCCTACATGTCGACAGTCATATTTTGTGTCAAGTTCAGGAATTTAATTTAATTTACGTTAATTTTATGTATGTATGTATGTGTACACCAAAAGCGGCTAATATTTGTTTATCCAATAATCATATTTGTGTTTTACTTCTTGTCAATTTTCGAGTGCACTCCGCTATGCTTGCTTGCAGTTGCATTCAATATATATAATATATATATTTATTTTAATAATTATTTTTTTGTAATCGACGCATTTTTCTGCTGTCGTTCGGACTAGTCCGAATTGGTGAGGGAAGAACGTTGTGATTCGAGTGTATTGGTGTCGTTGCGATTGCGCAACATGCGTGGTTGACTTGATGCAAAATTGGAAAAGTCTTTCATAACATCCTTATAAGTTTCATCTTCGCCATTTCCTTCGTCATTCATGCCGATCTCGTCGTTCAAGCGCGTCAGACGCAAGCTAAAGAAAGCAGGATTGCAATATCAAGAACTCTCTGCTTGTATGTAATATGTAAGGTTTGTACTTACAGTGTCACAATGTCGGCATTGCGTTGATCCACCGCTATGTCGAGCGGTTTTTTGCCCTCATTCGATTCGGTGTCATATTTGGCTTTGTGTTTAAGCAGCAAATACACCTGCGCTATGTAACCTCGTGCGGTGGACATGTGTAAGGCCGTCTCGCCATTGTCGTCGGCCGAATCGATAGGCACGCCATTCAACAATAAGTACTCGCATGCCATTACTGAACCCTTTAGTGGAAAAATAGACAATAAGTAAGTAAATTATAAAATTAAATATGTGCCGTTTTAATTATTATAATTTTTTTTATAGCAGCGCGTACGACATAACCTCAAATGGTTAAGTTTTCTTTATGTTATAGAATAATACTTTCGAAAAATACGATTAGCACTAGCTACAACAGTTTAATTGCAAAAGTTATGAAAATGTTGTTGCACACTCACCGACAGTACCGCCTGATGTAAATATGTGCGATTGTGATCGTTCGGATTCTTCCAGTGTTTGTTCACACCCAGTGCATAGGCCATGCACATCACAGGCAAATTATGCACCGCCGCCGCTTTGTACAACATGAGATTCGCATCGAGTTTGGAAAAGGGCACCTCATCTAATATTTCCGGTTCGACTTCGCCATCGGTGGACTCTTGATCCGAGCCTAGAATGGCGGGTGTTTCGTCCGACTCCAGCGCCAAATCATCACCGATCAACATCAAGTCTTCACGTGAAATACTCAGCGAGAGCGAGGGAAGATTTATCGACTCGTCATCATCGTCAGACTTCGAGCTAGAACGATGCCTGTCACGATGTCGGCGACGGCGATATTTCTTAACCGCCCATTTGCGTGCACCCAACGACAGCGTTGTGGTCTTACTCAAGCTACGCGGTTCCTCAGCATCAGCCACTCCACCGCCGCCACCACCGCCACCATCACCGCCACTATCAATGGAGAGCACTTCAGCAGTTTCGCTAGCGAGCAGCTCTTGCGGTTTCGGCATGGCACACACGAAACGCTTCTCCACATATTTCGCCTTGATCCACGCCTCGCGCACACTTATATCGCAATTCTCTGTGGCCGCTTTCAGTTCACAATTATCGCCGATACGCGCTTCGTAAATGCGATTCACCACATTATTGCCCAATTCCATCATCACCTTCACGTTTTCCGTCTCCCAGGCGTCGAGCGTAAGCGAACGCACCTTGCTATAGTGCACGCCGAGACTGCGATGCACACCGGAGCATTCTATGCACAGCGTTATGCCCAGATTGATGGAAGCCCAACGCGGATCGGAGCCGCGACAATCGCAGCATTGCGAATTACCGGGAATTTTAAGGAATTGCTCCCAGTGACTGGAGTTAGATAATGTTAAAGCATTAAAATCATATGCAATTTTCCGTTCAGCACAAATACTTGCGTACATTTTCCGCTTCGCATTGAGTGCATTCGCCGCCAGCGACGACTGTGGTCTGGAATGTTGGCTGTCGTGCTGTATGGCAGCGCCAATACTTTTCTGCAGCGCCGTTATCCACAGTGACAACATATCAGCGGAGTCTGCTTGCAAAATGTGCGATCTGAAAGCCACAAATATTTCATTCATTTAGAAATTGTTGCAATTATATACATATATGTCTATATATATATATATGTATATATATATATGTGTATATATGTATATGTGTGCATGTGTGTGCTACTCACTTTGTTGGCGAAATAACTTCGAAGCAGAAGCGACGATCGCCATCGTTGACGGGACGCACCGTACAAATGCGCAAATCCTCCTCCATAACGGAGAATGAATCCTCATTACTGCGTTTTCTGCAATTCGAATCCAAATCACTTCAGCGTTTTTTACAAACACAACATAAATTGGCAAATATGTGTAGGTAGAGTAGGTAGTAGTAGTAGTAGTAGTAGTAGTACATAGTTGTAGTAGTAGGTGGGTATGTACGAGATTGGTCGAGGTATGGCATGGCACACGACATAACCAACCACAACAACAACACAAACATAAAATAAATGTAAAAATTAGGACGCATACACGAGTAGAGATGAAAAAGCGAATTGAATTCTAAAAACTAATGCTAATAACTAAGGCTAATTAAATTTTAACTTAAATGTATAAAAAATTTCTAAAAAAAAAATATACTGTGCAAAGGAAATGAAATGAACCGTGTGGGGTGAACAAGCATCTGCATGTTCTTCAAACAAATTACTATATAAGGATAGGCAGCAGGATAGGACTAAATTTAAGTTGTAAAATTTTCGGTTTTCCAAATAGTAGTAACAATGTCACACAATAAAAAAAAATATATTAAAAAATAATAATAATCAGAAAAAACGTTAACTTCGGCTGCTCTGAAGCTATAATAACCTTCACAGATTTATTTTTAGAGCATAACGAGTTATAATACGATCTTCATTTTGTTTTCGATCGGCAGGTTTGCAATCACAATAGCATATCATTATAATTAACAGTTTTTCGGATATTATAGCATTTTCTGAGTAAAAAGATCTACACACGAAAAACAATGTGTCGCTTCAGTGCGGAATTCACAAGACGCGATGTGATTTGACAGCCATTGACTGCTCTAAAGATGTAAATGTAACTACCCGAGAGGAAAGTGAAGACCTTCGAATGCCTCAGACACTGATTGCAGCAAAAATCGTAAAAAAGAATTAATTTCACTCAAACAAAATCATTTTACTTAATACGCCTATGATGTTTCTATACACGGCAATTTTTAACACAGTCAGACCTGTACGAGTGCGAACTAAAAGTAAATACTCAAGACTGAAAACAATTAACGCTCACTTATTATTATTGTACACGTCACAGATTTTTCCTTATCTTGTCACTTAATTGATAATAAACTCTCCTACCACCAGCATACTTGTACGTAAATACTCACCTATAGACTAGCTGATTATTGCTCAAATAGAACCAACGACGGCACCATGTTTTGAATCCTTTCGATTTTTTCTTGAATAAATAGCCTTCGATTTTATTCGAAGTGCTATTCGTGTTTGTGTCACTGAAATTGTTCACACTCATGTGGCGGTTTTGCATGGCCTTCTCTAATTGTTGATAGTCACCGCGTAAACAATTCAAATCTTCCGTTATATTTTTGAAGAACTCATCAAAATCGTTGCACAAATCGAAACCTTGATGGTAGTAGGTGACGCAAGCCTGATAGTAGTCTACGAGCTGGTTGAATGAAAAGAAACACACAAATATGTTAGTTAATTGAGGCTTTCACTTTTGACCACAACAATAAATTAAAAGTAATTTCCGACTAACCGTTGATAAAATCGATGGAACTTTACGCGATTGTACTAAAGTTATATAATTTACATAGTCTAATGCGGTGTGTTGAAAGCATGATTTACTAGCTGATAATATGTTAGCTGCCTCTTGTACTTCTTGTGGCCGATTCTTGCTTGCCTGCAATATGTAAAAGTAACAATTAGCAAAACGAATATTTTGTGCGAATGTACGGATGACTCATCGTCGGTGCAACAACTTGCCTGTGCATTTTTTATGAGTGCATTATCGTAACCCTCGGATACTTTAAGGAAGTGTCCTTTGTAGTCCTTAACTTGATTGATGTCGTCTTTGACGAATACTTTGAGGTTCTTCAAAACCGTGCGACTCGCTTGATCCAATAGAATGGTATGAAACTTGTTCATTTCCTGCAAATGTAGATAGTAGGCAAATTGTATTACTAGGTACATATATGTAAGCGTTACAATCGCGGCATGGCCAATGAGTAATGGCTTGATGAATCGACGGCGATATCGAATTCGTATACAAAAAAAAAAAAAAAAACAGAAACAATAACTACAAAAAAGCAATAAAATAGCGACGAGTATGCGCGCCGGCATGTGAGTGGCGCTTTGTGTAGAGCCAATAAAATGAAATTACATTAAGTAAAATAAATAAATGAACTTAACGAACCTGAAAACAGTGTATC